CGCTCGAGCGTCAAAAGCCCCGCTCGAGCGTGAAGGCCAAATTTTGGGCATCAACCTTTGGTTTCAAAGCCCAACCAACCTGAAACAAACCTGCCCCAACACAACCCAAGGCTCAAATAAGAAAATAAAGGACAACAACACCAATTATACAATGACAGAATCTACGGAACCTAAGTCCGGATACAATAATCAAATGGGAAAAGACCGGGGTCGCTATAGTTTAACTTTTTTTAAATACAAATTATCAAAATTGCACTAAATATTATATATATATATATATATTAATTTTTTTAAACTAATAATTTAAAAATTATAAACAGAAAAGTTAACCTATAAATTTCATATATACCGCAAAATAAAATATTAAATTACTTCAAGATAATTATAATAATTTTTTTTTAAAAGAAATTTAGAAAGTCTCGTGCATAGCACAGGTTCTCACTAGTAGATATAGATTTTAAAAATGGTTAACAGGGAATCTAAACAGATAAGAACCGTGCTGGGACCCCAGCACCCCCACTCCACGTGAGGCTCTGTGATTGCCAGATAAAAAAAAAATAAAATTCAGCCAATAAAAAAACACTGGGGGTCACTGGGGTTGGAAAAACTGGGGGTGCAAAGCATTTTTGGAACAGAAAAGCATGATGTTGCCTTTTCTTTTTGTAATTCATCTTGAATTTAAGTCTGTCAGATAAGCATGAACAGCTACATCTTGTATTCATTCATGATTTGCACATCCTCAAACCACAGCCATCACATATTCAAAATGTCAAATGAAAATAAATTCTTGGGAAAGGAATACTTAAAACTGACATTGAAAGATAATAAAAAATTATATTAATTTATTTGTTAGGGCGCAATGGTAAAAAATACGAAGGGTGCCTTTGGTTTGTGTTTTGAAACATATTTTTGAAAGAAAATTTTCAAAAGTATATTTGGTTACAAATTTTCTCAAAAAAAAAAAATTAAAATTATTTTTCTTTCTATTACACATCAATCAATTAGTTTTTCTCTCTCCTCTCTCATTTTCAATCACTTTTTCTCTCACACATATCTATTCAATTACAACAAAATATTAAATCATCCCAAACTCCCAAACTTGAAAACTATTTTCAAAATATACAATCAAACAAATCAAAAAAAATTTTATTCTCTCCCCAATTATTTGTTTTGAAAATTTATCTCAAAATACAAACCAAACACACCCTTCATGTAGCTGACTTCACTTGATCGGGATTCAAAGCATAGGTTTTTTTAATTTTTATTTTATTTTTTTTTAACAACATTCAAGGCTTAGTTTGGTTTGCTTCTATTAGGTTATAAGAACACATACATGCCATTGATGATCCAATATTTTATATTTGAGAAAAACAACCCAAGTCATGAAAATGCTAAATTCAACAATTTTTAGCAGGAGAAAATTACTATTTCAAGAAGTTGAAAGAGAAAAGCAATTCCCAAGACTGTGACCACCAGATCCATATAACAGTTGCAGCTTGACAATTATTATACAATTCTAACATATTCCCAGTCAAATTTCCCAGAATTAGACTTCCAAAAACAAATTAATCAACAAATTCATGAGTTTCTCATAACCCTAAGGAATAGGGGAAAATTACACTAATAGTCTTTATAGTTTGAATTTCATGTCACCTTAATTCTTAACTTTTCAATTGTGACACATTTGACCCTGAATTTTGAATCTTGTTTCAAATAAGGACAATTGAACATACCATTACTTAATTTCAAGGACAAAATCGTTAATTTGATAAAATATAAACTAATTTGACAAAAATAAATGTCGAAAAAATATTTTAAAATTTCTACAAATTATTTCTATCCACCAAAGATAAAATTATGTAAAATTGATAAAAATTACATGATTAATTTTTAAAAATTAATTTTACATGATTATTATCCAAATACATAATAAAAATTAATTTGGTAAAAAAAAATAAATGTCTAAAAGATTTATCAGTTTTATATAATTTTATCTTTAGTTGGTATAAATAATTTTAAAAAATTCAAAAATAATTTTTTGACAGTTATTTTTGTTAAATTAATTTATATTTTATTAAATTGACGAATTTGCTCTTGAAAAATTCACTAGTATTTTCAATTGTTCTTATTTAGAACAAGATTCAAAATTCATGGTCAAATATATCACAATTGAAAAGTCATGGACTAAAGTAACACAAACCCTAAACTATAGGGACTGTTGGTGTAATTCACTCAAGAAATAATAATAAAGTTTTTTTTTTTCTATAATCATAAATGCATGTGAAAAATGACAGAAATTCAGGAGAATTTCAACACATGACAAGATAAGAAGGAACAACAAGTAGAACGGAAAAAAGGTCTCTCACCTTTAGGCTCGTGTGATGGTAGAACATAGTCATCATGGTCTCTTCTCTTCTTCTTCTTGCACCATATGAACAAAATGCTCAAAATTGCAAGAATCACTACACCACCAATCGCAATCCCAACAACAAGCCCTGTTGATGCACTCGACGAGCTTGGCGGTGGCGATGACTTTGAGGTCCTCGGAGGTGGCAGCGAGGAACCTGACGGCGGAGAAGAGGAGTTACGAGTGGTACCAGGAGTTGGTAATGGCGATGGCTCCGGCTCGGCAGACAGCAGCCTGTCGTTAGGACGTGTGGGAGTGGTGGATATAGGGTCGTTAGGAGGTGGGGGAGTGGTGAATATAGGGTCGTGAGGAGGTGGGGGAGTGGTGAATATAGGGTCGTGAGGAGGTGGGGGAGTGGTGAATATAGGGTCGTGAGGAGGTGGGGGAGTGGTGAATATAGGGTCGTGAGGAGGTGGGGGAGTGGTGAATATAGGGTCGTGAGGAGGTGGGGGAGTGGTGAATATAGGGTCGTGAGGAGGTGGGGGAGTGGTGAATATAGGGTCGTTAGAAGGTGTGGGAGTGGGGTCGTTAGGAGGTGTGGGAGTGGTGGATAGAGGTGGAGTAGTAGACACTAGCCGGTCGTTGTGGTGAAGTGGTGTTGGCGAGGTAGTGATTGTCGCCGCTCGAGTTCGTGACCTGCTGATGGTGTCAAGTGATGGTGGTGAATTGGTGATGGAAACTGATGTCCGAGACGGAGACGCCCACGGAAATCGGGACATTGTCAGATACCCCCCTCTCTCCCTATATATATATATATATGTATATGAGAATTGAAACTGTGTGTATAAAAGCGAGCGCAGCGGCCGGAGCAGCGGATTTTGTTTCACTCCCTAGATTTTTTCAGAGAGAAATAGAGAGAGAAAATTTTTGGTTTCGTTTTATTCACTAAGGATCTTTTATAGTGTTTTTTTTTTTAAGTTTTTTAAAGTGGTGTATTGTATGGTTGAGATTTAATGTTAAAAAATTAATGTGACTTGTCATTAAATCTCATGGCGGAGGGACGCGAGTCCGGCTGTGACGAGGTATATTTCAGTCTCTGTGTTATGTATATATGTATATTTCAGTCTCTATATTTACATTTTGTTTGGATAATCAATGTATACATTACAAATATGTCAAAGATGACCCCCCTAATCCAAAGATTGAGGCAGTTTCAGGTTGTTTCTTCTTCAAATGGGTAATTCTATTCTCTATTCTATTGCCAGATTCTGAAACAGAGTGCACTGTGCTCTGAACTCAGCCAAAAATGCACTGACAATAGAACCCAAAAACCACCGCATTTAATTTTGTAACGGTGAAGTCGTCGTCCCTTCTTTGTCCCAATTTAATACTCTCTCTCTCGGTCTCTCTCCTATTCACTCTGTCTCTCTCTCTGGAGTTCTATAGCTCTATCTCTTTGTCTTCATTGTCTCTACTATATTCGCCTTTAGGCATTGCAGATCTTGCTTTCTTTCTTAGTTTGATTTCGACTTCAAAGGAAAACAAACTTCTTGGGAGTCTTGAAAGTGGGGCTTATACAGAGAATGACCCATTTCTAGTGAGTTCTTGATGAATGTTTCCGAGTTATTTATTTTTTATTTTTCAAATGCTTACCCATTTGACTGAAGCTGTTACACACCACAAAAATACATGTTTTTCTTCGCTGTTTCTGATTATTTGTGGTTTTGATTTAAGTTTTTATGCTTACTGGGTATCTTGGAGAATTGGGCAAAAATACATGTTTTTCTTTGCTGTTTCTGATTATTTGTGGTTTTGATTTTAGTTTTTATGCTTACTGGGTATCTTGGAGAATTGGGTTTTTTAAATTATCTTGTGTTAGATGGATGGAATAGCTTTGCCCTCTCTCTCTCTCTCTCTCTCTGTGCTGCTTGAAAACTAGGGCTTTTGGAGAACCTTGAATGTCAATGTAGGGTGAAAAAATTTTGGATGAAAGACAGAGATTGGACTGCCCACTTTTTCATGCCTCTTGATCAAACATAGCTGTTTGGACTACCACTTTAGTGTTGAGAACTAATCAAAGTGTTGAGAGATTGAAAGACAGAGAAGATTCATAGCCACAGGGAGTAATAAAGCCTATTATTTTACCAATGTACTTCTCATTTTCATATTATTATAACCACAAGGAGTAATAATTAATTTTTCTCTATACATTTCTCTATGTTAATTTTTATATATAATTAAGGATTTATATATAATTAAGGATTTTGTGAATTCAGAAATTAGTAATTATAAAGAAGAGTGATTAGTAACTATGATTGATTTTTCAATATCATTTATAACTATGATAGTTATATATGAAAGATATCATTTATAACTATGATCTGGTCCATCATTTCAAAGAGATTTACAAAATTATAAAATAAAACTACCTTAATAAACCACTCCCCATAACAAAATAAGTTCAAATTTGATGTTGGCTAATTGATTCATTGAACCTATAAATTGATTCATTGAACCTATAAATCGAAGTAATATAAATTCATTCATTGATTCATTGAACCAATAGATTGAAGTAATATAAATTGATTCATTGAACCTATAAATCGAAGTAATATAAATTCATTCATTGATTCATTGAACCAATAGATTGAAGTAATATAAATTGATTCATTGAACCTATAAATCGAAGTAATATAAATTCATTCATTGATTCATTGAACCAATAGATTGAAGTAATATAAATTGATTCATTGAACCTATAAATCGAAGTAATATAAATTCATTCATTGATTCATTGAACCAATAGATTGAAGTAATATAAATTGATTCATTGAACCTATAAATCGAAGTAATATAAATTCATTCATTGATTCATTGAACCAATAGATTGAAGTAATATAAATTGATTCATTGAACCTATAAATCGAAGTAATATAAATTCATTCATTGATTCATTGAACCAATAGATTGAAGTAATATAAATTGATTCATTGAACCTATAAATCGAAGTAATATAAATTCATTCATTGATTCATTGAACCATTAGACTTTTTATTTTTTTGTCATTTTAGTTTTATTAAAAAAAAATTATGAAAGACTTACGTGTAGGTCGTAATAGGTGAATTTATTGTCTAATAGTTCTTATAATAATTAATAATATTTTTCATCAAATATTATTAAAAAACGTCACTGATTATTCATTTTCAGCGACAGTTTGAAAACTTTGTCATAAAAAATGTCACTAATTATAAATTTTAGTAACAATTTTTTTTTTAAAAAAAAGTCACTAATTTTCGATTTTCAGCGATAGTTTGAAAATTTTGTCATAGGAAAACATCACTAATTGTAAGTTTTAGTGATAATTTATAAAAATTTGTGAGAAAAAAACATTAATTATTAATTTTTAGCGACATATGTAAAAAATCGTCACAAAAAATTATTTTTTGCGACGATTTTACTATAACTTATTTTAAATGAAACTTGGTTGAAATTAAGTCAAACTATTACCATCTATTTGTATTTTACCCAAAATTTAATTTCCTTTCATTAAAAAAATATAAGATAAATTATACCAAATTTGATTTATTTTCTTTTTTAGTGTACTTTTCAAATATTAATATAATCAAATTTTATTTTGTTTAGTGTCAATAATGGAATGACCATTTTTTTTATAATGATTTTAGTAATCAAATTTCGAAGTAGGCATTTTGATGAAATAATTATTCTATTCTAATTTAATAAAATAAAATAAACATATCATAAGTATGTATTTAATTATGAATTTAAGTATATTTTTGGAAAGCGAATCAAAAAACAAAAAAAAGCAATATAAATGCAATATAATGTTTTTTCCTTTTTCATTTCCTTTTTATAAATTCATAATTCAAATACGTGTAAGTATTTTCCAGCATACACACAATAAGGAAAATAAAGTAAGGTGTCATTTTGTAACGAGTTAAAAATTCACCTATTTTATTTTATTTTATTTTATCTTTATGCTATATTTGGATTATAGATTTGTATAGAAATTTAAAAATAAAAAATAAATAAAATGTGAAAAAAATATAATTATATATTACTAACATTTCACACACGTTTTCTCGTTCTCTTTTCAAATCTCCATCCAAATTCATACTCCAACATAGTCTTAGTGATTTTTTTAAAAAGAATTTATGTCAAAATCTTTTGCTTTTCCATCTAGTGTAGAAAAATCTAAAAAGTAAAAGTAAATAAATAAATAAATAAATAAATCACTTAAAAAAAGAAAGAATTACAAAAGCCAACTGTTATATATATTGTCTTTAGTGAATTTTTATTTTTTTTTAATTTTTAACCGTTACTTTTCTAAATTATCTAGTTGAGTAAAACCTAAAATTCTAATATTTTTAAAAATTTTAAACAAAAAAATTCATTAAGAAACATTATAAATAAAGTTTTAAAAAAAAAACTCAAAAGCTAATTCAGAATATCCACTAGGCATTGAAAATTTATTTAACATCATATGTATTACTATCATAAATAAATCTCAATTTGTATTAAATTTTACACACATAAATACTTGACTTCATTTGGTAGAGAAAAGAGAAATGACCGGTAATGAGATCCTGAGTTCCAGTGAGGCCCGGCATTACCATGGATGTTCCAAAGAAGAGAAAGATCATCTAGTTTGAAGCACAAAGAAGATCAAAAGTATATCTGATTTAGCTGATGATGGTATGTAGGTACAGAGCTCGGTGGATGATACTCAGGGGAAGGCGAAACCTACCCTTTCGATACCTAAGGAACCTATGATGGAGGCCCCCCTGAGCCAGCAAAGGAAAACTAGGCCCGAAGCTCCACCTCCTCCCATGGAAGGACATTCAGACCAAGTTCGATCATTCAAACAAGCTTTGTTGCGATCTCAATTTAATGAACATGGAAATGAAAAGAATTTTGACTGTGATGTTGAGACACTCTCTTCGGATGAAGATGATTTGGCGAACGACACAATTCCTGAAGGTCACATGGATATCAATGAAGAAAATAGGGCAGGTATTCCTAAAGTTACCATACCAGCAAATCTCCTAAAAAAAATTAGGGATCCTTGGAAAAAATGTTTAATTGTAAGGTTGCTAGGGAAGAAAAAAGGATATAAACTGTTTATGATCAAAATGACAAAGATCCGGGGCCTTCAAGCTGTCTTTGAGGCCTTGGACATTGGAAATGGTTTTTTTATTGTCAAGTTTGATATGATGGAATATTATAAAAAAGTGTTCACAGGTGGCCGGTGGGTTGTTCTGGATCACTATGTGACAACGAGGAAATTGCAACAAGATTTCAAATTTGATGAGGCTGAAGAAGATACCACTGCCATCTGGGTGCGATTTCCTAATCGGCCAATTGAGTATTATGATGAGCAAGTTCTTTATCATATCGCGAAGATCCTGGGGCTGTGTAGACGTGCCCCGAGGACTCCAAAGCTTCGCGCTGTGATGGCGCGAAATCTCATTTTGTTCTCTAGCTGCTACAGTTTGGACTCAATGTCACGGTTCTGAATCTAATCTCGCAAAGTGCAATGTAAGACCGATAAATCACCAAAGAGTCCAAATCCGGCAAATCGTTTTGGAAAACTGATTTTAATAAAGAAGTGCCAAACATGGACTGCTTTGCCAGATACAGAGTCGCCACCTAAATATTTTATTTTGGAGAATTTAGGAAACCCTGACTCGTGCCTAAAGTCACGTGTCCGTCATCACCAAAGTTGTCTCGGCTTGGGAACTTGGGTACGAGAGGGGAAGGT